GGACTTACGGACTAGCACTATGGGGAACAGCTAAATTTTCTAACATCAAACGCATTCAATCCTTTCAGTCTAAAGTCCTCCGTACAATAGTCGATGCTCCCTTCTATGTAACCAATAAAACCCTGCATAATGACCTTAATATCCCATTTATTATTGACCTTATCCCAGCCAAATTTTCCAAATTTCACCAGAACCTTTCTCATCACCCAAATCCCGTTGTACAATCCCTATCAAGCACCACCCATCCCTACAATTGTAACTATGGATATTTTGGAGTTCTAGCAATGGTCATATTCTCCACTCAAGTCATGAGTGTCTGTGGCTGTAGCGCTCTTACTCATCCTCCGTTGGTCTTAAATACCAGTGAAGTGGCTGAGGGAGAAGCGTAGGGATCTCCTAAGCCTCCCTTTTCCCTCCACATGTGGAGGATGCAGGATTGGTTCGGAGATCACCTGGCTAATTGTAAATAATGTAAATAGGTATGTTTTATGTAGGATGTTTGTTTTACTTTTATTTCTATTTTTACTTACTTATGTGTATATATATATATATATATATATATATATATATATATATATATATATATATATATACTTTATTTTTCTTTTTTTTTTCTTAATCTTTTGTTATTAGTTTATTTATTTATATTTTTGTATATACGGTATGAATGTAGTCTCTGAACTCTATTATAAGTGTCCTTTACTGTGACAAATTGTAATATTTCTCAATAAACTGTTTAAAAAAAAAGTGACCATATCAGTCTAAAAATATTTTATTTTTTTATTTTAGTATTATTTTTTTATCAATAACTCGGCTTATTAGCAAAGTAATCGTCAGAATAAATCCACCATCACAAATGTCGATTTAGTATCTAGAAAGGGGCTCCACCAAACCATCGAATTCCTATCGTATTCAATCCTTATTATCCAAAATCTTTCGTAAAATCCTTAATGCTCCATACTTTGTCACAAATAATACCATCCAAAAAGACCTTAATGTACCATATGTCGCTGATTTAGCCCGAGCCAGATAGCTATCCCTTCGCGATAAACTCCAGTCCCATCCAAATCCCCTTGTTTCCACCCTTGCTTCTTCCTCGATTCCAGATAATCCTCGTAGGTGTCTGAAAAGGAGATGGCCTCGTGATATTCTTACCTAGAATTATTTAGGGAGTGCTACCAATGGGTAGTATCTATTCAAGCCTGGTCATTTCATTATTTATAATCTGTGCATATTTACTAGTTTTATTTGTATACAGTTGTAAATTTCATTAAATAAACCAAAAAAAAGTACATAGAAGAGATTAATAAAAAAAAAAACAACTGGAAATAATAAACAGAAATATTTATTGGATGGATTTAATATTTTATAAGAAAGAAAAAATTAATATATACTTAAATTGTAAGCATTAATTCATTCTTATATTTATTTATTTTTAGTGTGGGATGGGTTAGGTACTACATGTATCTATTTAATGAAATATACTCTCTCTCTCTCTCTCCCCTCCCTCCCTCAACTCACTATTTTCGTTGTCACGCACGTCATTCATCTTCAGTCTTGACACCACTCCTTGAGAGCGTACGAGTAAGGAGAGAATTTCTCAAGTAAAAAATGAAGCTCACATTTTTCTAGGTAAGCTTGAATTTATGATCGTTTGCATTACAAAAGAGAGCTGAAGATTCGTCATAATTCTATCCAACATCAGTGGAGTCTTTTGCAAGACATCCAGTATAGCTGTCCATATATTATTCTTATGCTATCAACTATATAATCATAAAATTCATTCAAAAATAGAATTAATAAGAATATCTTTGTCTTCTTAATAATTGAGTTTTTAGTACAGTTCAGTTAATGTTTTTAAACAAATCAATACCTAATCATAGTTTAATCCAACCAAGGCCCGAAGGTATGATTTTTAAAATATAATATAACATTGAAGAGAAGTATAGTTGGGCTGATCAGTCAAAATAAAAATGGCAAAAATAAATAATATTTATTTTAACATTTGCCGACGTTTCGATCCGAAGTTCAGGCCTTCATCAGGACAGAGAAAAGAACCAGATAACTCTCATACAATTGGTATGAGAAATATAAACAATGTAGGTAAAAAAAACATAACGTAATGAAGTGAACATAACATAACATGAAGTAAACATAATATGTTTTCTTTATTAGTCCACACTTTATAACCGTTATTATGGTTTATTTGTTAGTTCTTGTTATTGTCATTATTCTACCAACTTTATTTTACTATAATGTTCACTTATCTACTTCATTTTACTTTAAGTTTTTTTTTACCTACATTGTTTATGTTTCTCATACCAATTGTTATCTGATTCTTTTCTCAGTCCTGATGAAGGCCTGAACTTCGGATCGAAATGTCGGAAAATATTAAAATAATAATAATAATAAAAGGCTTAGCGAACCCGAAGGTTCGATGCCGACATCACCAATCGCTTATTACACACACCCCTCATCCGTTCGCCGTCCAAACCCAGTTCCTTCAGATCGGTCTTAATGCAATCTTCCCATCTTCGCTTTGGTCTACCCCTCGGACGTTTACCATTCGGTACAGCAGATATTAACCTTTGAGAATTCGAAAAATGTTTTTAAAAAAAACATATTAGATACGCACATAACATGAATAATAAATAAAAAACAATTATCAAACAGACTAAAAGGCACTCCAATAGTCTTATTGACCAACAGTCAACGCTACTAGTTTCACTAAAAGTAAATGTCAATAAAAGTCAGAGATATAGAGCATTGTGTAATATCTCTCTGAAGCATCTGACTTTTGTTGTTTTTGTGGTTGTGGTCCACGACAGTAGATTTAATTGAATTATTTCCAATTAAATTTTAACTAATTAATTAAAATTGAAAAGAACTATTAATGAAAAATTAAATAAATAAATTTAAAAAAAACGAAGGATATTTACATTTCCAGAATAAAAAATGAAGTTTGCGTATTTTGAAGCGTTGATTCTAGGTGCCCACAACTCTGTTCTCGACCAAGATCCCAGTCATCAGGTGTACGATTAAATGTTGATTAGTTGATTAAATGTAGATTAAATGTTGATTTAATGTTCAGTTGTGCCATCACCTGACACAAACTTCCTTCCTATTTAATCCACCAAAAATCTCTTTAAACACTTGGGTTGACTTTATTGGAAAGAAATGAGGTGAAAAATTCAATTAGGTTGAGAACCAATCATGAAAATACAGATAAATTCTTAAACTTGATAAAAATAAAAGTGACAATAAATTGTGACGAAGTCGAGGATCCACTACATCTAGCAATATCGTGTAAGTGTTTTAGCAAAGAGAGGAGGGCTTATATCGAAGGGTCGGCACTCAATATTCCTAAAACAATAAAAGAGCAAGATCGTGAAGGAAACAATGGACGTAGAAAGTTTATTACAAAAATAAAATTACGGCTTTAATACTTGAAAATATGTCTAATCCTAGCAAAATATGTCTTAAATATTAAAGCAAAAAAAAAAAATGTTTGTGTATTGCTGGTAATTGTAATTTATAAGTAATAATTTTTATTTAATTTAATTGAATTGTAAACTATTACTTGTATGCTGGTTATTGTAGCTACAATAAATATGATCAAAGGATTCATAAATTGATTGTCATCTAACTCCTAATCAACTGTAGATGAGACAGAAACCAAATATCTTTCACCAGCAGCTCTGATACCTGAATCGGGTCTCAGACAAGAATTTAATAACAAGGAGTTATTAGCTTTGTACAATAGATACATCCATTATATAACTTTGTCTTCTATTTCAGATCGCAGTTGAATTCCATGATCCTTTGTGAAATTCATTAAGATAATGATAGGATTGTAGCGCATAAGATAAATATTCAAACTCCTTAAAAGCAAGTATATAACAATATATATAACAATAAAAAAACTATAAAGAGATACAGAAAATATTATAAATATTTATCAAAATATTACCAAACGTAAATTTTACAATAATATAATATAAATAGTGTTGAATATTTATTTAGCAAGCCTCATTGAGGCTGCTGCAGTGAGGTGTGCTATATTAAGCCTGAATTTATTTTATATTTTTTCAGAGCTTATGATACAGTAATTAGCGTAACATTTATTAGTTATTTATTAACGATTAATTAGTTCTAAGTTGAAAGTTAAATTTAATTTGATTATAAATAGCAATAGGAAGTGAAATAAAATAAAGGAAAAAAAGTAAGGCAAACAAATAATACTAACACAATATTATGACGAGAAAAAAAATATATACGCTGTAAAAACAGAAAAAAAGGTATGGCAATGGAGCCTTAATCTAATGTGTGCTGAAATGAAATTACATATGCTGGAAATTATTTAATCGGACTTATAAGTTTCTGGAAGTAAACTCTTTAAATAAATTATTTTACTTTTTAAAAACATTTTTTGTAGTTGAAGGTTTTTCAACTCATAGGTATATGGGTTAATTAAGTACCTAAATACATATACTAATGGATCTTAAATGTTTACCTAATAGAAACACTAATACCGTTAAATCAATAACATTATACCAATGTGTACACACCTATAAGCAAGCAGTAATTATGGATCAAAACTTTATTATAGGTAATAATGTAAAAACGAAATAGGATTTGAACAATAACAGAAAATTATTCGTATAATTATAATTATAATTCAATAATGCTACATAGAGAATAAATGGCTTCAATAAAATACCGGGTGGATCTTAAAATCATTAAACCAATTATAAAAAGTTCATGAAATACTATTATAGGAAATGAATAAAAAGTATCGATTTTCTTTTTACTTTCGAGGGATTCGTCGATAATATAATGGATAATATCGATAAATCGAGTTTTTTGTTTCCACGAGCCACGGTCTGTGGGAATAAGTGGAGATCTCAATGAGGATTACAGGCTAAAAAGTTTGTAGACTCCTGACAAGGAACCCTATTATATTTGAATTGTTATTTGATTAATTACGCACAACAAGCCAATCATATAATAAGTACTAACGCAATGATAACAACTAAAAGACTCACGTATATGTGATCCCTCTTGAACCTATGGTGGAGGTTGCCGATGAACGTCTCCTCAGTGAGCGGATCTAGCAGAACTGAGTCCCAGGCTCCGACTTCCTGCTCACCACCGTCCATCAGCCCTGCAAGCCACAAAACATTCCTTTAGATCTACAGGTTACAACTGCAATATAATATGCACATAGGTAATATCAAATATATTTTAACTCAGACAACAATCAATTACCCCAAGTAACTTTGGGACTGGGTGGGTAACTTTGGTTCAGTCTCCAAAAACGTGCTTTATGTAGACATGTACCGCGCTACCACCTTGCTGCAATTCGAGAACCCTAGTCCACTACACTCGTTGTGCAGTTAGGTTTTATTTATTTCTATTCATTTTTTCAAAGTTCATCCAAATTTCATGAAACTTTCGCGCCTCAAGAGTAGTGTGCCGCAAGATAGTAGCGCAGTATATGAGCTATCCATGCTGACTGAACCAACACATTTTACCCACTATATCAAAGTTAACCATCTAGTCCCAAAATTACCCCATCTTACTGCACCGATCATTTTTATTCATGAGAGCGAGGCGATAGTTTTCCCTCACACTTGAAAAATAGATAAATAAATTAAACACACATATATGAGGTGATGCACAAAAAGTAAGAGATTGTTTGTTGTTTTTATCCATTTTTCTTTTTTCTATCTACAAGATTGTGACGTATTTCATTTCTTATATTCCTCAATTTGTATACATATATATCTTTCTATTGATTTATTTACTATACATGTAATTTTTTTTTCCTTTTCCTTTTGTTATTTTTTCCGGTAAAATTATAAATATAGTTGAGAAGATTTTATTTTATTTTTTAGTAATTTACATACTATTATTTAAGTTTTGCATATATTGTTTGGATCTTTATTAAGTTTTTTTCAAGATGTGTATTTTTTTTCTTTTGTAACTGTACATTATTGTCATTCTAAGGGGACATCGTCCCAGAATAAAGTTTATTTTCTATTTCTATACATATTTTCTTCTTTTTATCCTATTATTGAAATTTAAAACTGTACTAAATGATAAACACAACAAGTAAATCTGAAACAAGTAACATGAAATGTACAACATGAAAAAAAAAACCCGTTGGAAGCACTCTAACTACATATACATACATATATATATATATATATATATATATATATATATATATATATATATATATATATATATATATATATATAACAAGTAAAGAAACAAATGTTATTGTTACAGAGGAGAGTTCGGATAACAAAAATTTTCAAATTACACTTCTGTAATTGACTACTTGTTCGGAAAGAATAAAACATTAAGTTTTCAAAGATGCTGCTAGACACAAAGAACCAAAATTAAGGTCGCACACTGGTGTAGAAAAAAAAGTTTCCGACTAAAACGTGGAAAGGTTTCCTAAAATTGTAAGCTTAAGGTTTGTCTTAAAATTTTTAGTGTCTAAAATAATAGATAATTAGAAAAAATAATTAGTTATTTCCTTTGTTATGGTATTCCATCATAGAACTAGAACGTCCTACTATTATTTAGAAATAAGATGCTGAACAAGTATACTGTTTCTAAACTCAGAGTGAGTTGAGAAGGTTTTATTTAGTTGTTTATTAAACTGCTTTATTGGCATTACCTTTTCATAATTTGGGTTGAATTTATTTTGTGGCGGTTCCACAGAATAAATCTAGACCTTCCTACTTTGGTTAGAATGGTTTTGGTTAAACATAGAATAACCAATCCTCCCCTATATATTAAAATTGGAAAACAATCATCAGGTAGGGACTCAATAATATTTAAGAAACTCAATAATATTTATTTTCCAGGTATAATAAACTCTATTAAAAAAATATATTTCGATTGTATTTTTATTCTTTAAATTATTTACTTCACCTCTTAGAAGTTTTAGAAGAAATATAGCTCGCAGTTTTCTAAATAACTCACTGAATGAAATGAGACATTGCATCGTTATACCATACTGTCACACTGTAAGATAATGAATAATCGGACAGACAACCGATGCTAGGATTACCAAGCGTATATGTTACACTATTTAAAGTGACTAATTAAATAGGAAAGTGGAGTTTAGTGTGAGCGCACGTGCATCAATAAAACATTTAATTATCGCTCTGAGGATAATATATATATATATAAGTAAATAGCACGGATTTATTATAACAAATCTCAGAATCTAGCTAAGTAAACATACATAAATGATTGATTTTTCATCGGGGAATTCAATACCATTACGGTCCATTGGCGACACTATTCCCTCTAGTTCATTTTCTATTGGCACAGGCTTTTCTTTACCTGAGCCATCCATCTCCCCCTGGTCCACTGCCTTCGACCTGTTGCTTCTTATTTCAGGTTATCTGCGCAGGCCATACCATTCCAATCTTTTTACTTTATTGGCTTCACAAAACCTTCCGCCAACTAAGCTCTTACTTAGATTCCGGGACTTATTTTATTGAATGGAAATTCCATTCCGGAAGGTAAGCAAACTTAAAGAAAGGGTCCGTTTAAAAATATTTTCACAAATCACAGACGGTTTTCGTAATTTTTTTTTTAGAATACATTAAAACTCTCAAGATAAAATAAAATATACTCTCTTCGGAGATACGTATACTAAAAATACAATAATATAAATATAAAAATAAAAAATACTTGTCCGATATTGAGAATAACCAGACTGCTTAAATTATTTTATATCAAACCTACCTTAGACAGTAGAAAGGCATGGAAATCGCATGATAAAATGATATAGAAAATCCTCAACAGACGACTCAAATTAATTTACCATATTTTTTCTATTTTCTATTTATTATTATTTATTAAATTTACAACTTTACAAATGCATCCAGCAAATGTAATACAAAGAAATATATGACATGACAAGGCTTATAGAGAATCTACCCATTGGTAGCACTCTAATAAAGTATCTAAATTAGAAGATCACGAGGCCATTTTCTTTTCAGACGCCTAGGAGGATTATCAGGGATCGAGGAGGAAGCAAGATTAGAAACAGGAGGATTATGATTGTAAAGATTGGATACGATAGGAATTCAATGGTTTAGTGAAGCCCTAAAGTTCTACTCCGTAAGTCCAAACAGGTCTTATTATGGCCATGCATATGAATATTTTGTAATTAATTGAAAGGTTAGAGCGTCTCTCTAGTAAGTGCTGAAGTAGTCGGAAACGTCGAGCGGTTTCTTGTCGTTTCAGTCTGGTATGAGGATTCGAAGATAGACATTTGTCCAGGGGGAGTCCCAGGTATATTTTTTCCAAATTAAAAAAAATGAAACTGAGACAGAAACTGAACAGATAAACATACTTAAACCCCTGTTGACAAGCTCATCGTTGACATACGGTGTCGCCAAAAAGTATAAATTAAAAAAAAAATTAAAATCCTGCAAAAAACATCATAAAACTCATAACAAAAGCACCTTATTCCGTCACAAAACTCAACTTACTGGCCTCCACTCACCGAAAGTTGACCAACAAACAACGATTCATTACTAACGATTTTATACAAGTATAAACAGAAAAATAATATTTTAATAAGAGACATGTCTATTGCTGATAGGAGGAGACAAATAAGGCGCTGAATGAGAGGAGAGAACGCCTTCTTTAAACAACTAAATTAATTGATGCCAGGTACTTTTCTTCCCCAGGCCTTCAAGTCAAGTCATTATTTCTTAAATAGACATCACATTTACTGATTGTCAACATAGAGCTGACAGGCGCAAATAAGCGTAAAAATAAAAATCTAAAATGAGAAGTAACTTTATTTATTTTGTAATTTTATGGTTTTAAGTAAACGTGCAGTAATTAAATTTTCTTAAGGTATGTAATAGATTAAATAGTAATTAAGGATAGTTACATCGCAGTATGATCCAGTATATAGCTATTATCTGACAAAACAAATATATAAAAGTTAAAATATCATAGAGATAGAAATAACAAAATACACAAAAGTGTGTAAGTTTGTCTATCCAGTAATAGTTTAAAATCTGAACATTGATTCAATTTTGTGTATTATCAGCCTATATTACAAATTTGTTGAAATGAAAAAGTTGCTGTTTCCTAATTAATTTTTTTTTAAAACTTATTTATTCAGAAATATTAAACTTATTTATATAGAAATACTAAAAGTAAATGTATATAAACAAAAAGATACTAAACTAAAACAAATAACAACTTAAATACATGTAAACTTTTATACAATGTTTACAAAATTCATTCATTTAGGAGAACTCCTAGCCAAATCTCCCTCCCACCCCACTCATCGAAGGAAAGGCAGGACTCTAGGAAATCCCAGCGCTTCTCACTTAGCATATATTTGAATAGTTAATATTACGTTATTAAAAATTATTGGTCATTTTAACTGTATCTAAACAAATTTAATATAAATAAGATTACGAAAATAAGTCTGAAAAAAAATTTGATGTAGCGTACCTTTATTATAAAGATAAAAAAACTTTGTTGTTAATCAGCTTTTCAGTCGAAATCAAGATGACAGCTCCTTTCATTAATGAATTGTTCATCCTTTCATTATCCTAAGGTAGTTTATAGTTTAATTTAAAAAGAATAACTCCAATTTTTCTTGTTGGGAAGACGACTTGCCATTGTAGAAACCCTATTAAGCCAATCATTGCGTCCTGAATCAGAGTCTACAAGACTCTAAGGAGACCTGAAGAAAGGATTCAAGATAATAAAGGAGTAAGCCCCTCGTCATAAAACTGAAATAAAAGTAATGTCATTACTTACCTTTTCAGTTTTTCACCGGTTACTATGAAATTATTTCTCATCCGAGCTTTTTTTATTATTCTTTTTGAAAGGGAATTATACAGTAATAATTCTAAGTAATAAAATCCTACTTTGCCTTGATCCTCCTTTGATGCTTCATTTTAAAGTAATTGGAATTATAACTTTATGTGTCTGAAATGCTGAGATTGAATACGTGGCCTTATGAAACGCCCCAAATAGAAAAGAAGTCTAGGGTAACTTTCATTCTACGCTAATAGAGAATCGTATTTCTTTCATTGTTAAAATTTGCAGTAAAATATCTTATTTTAATAATATAGAAGATCGGTATATTTAAAAATAATAGTAAAAAAAAATGAAACGATAAAAGTCGATGAAAAATAATGGATGTAGAGAATTATGGCCACAAATTATTGATGTTTGGATGGCAACGCCGGCAGAAACCAAGGATTAATTGTATACACTTCGGAAATTCTTGAGTGTCTTGGTGGCGTAGTAGGTAACAACGCCTTAACACCGGTGACAAGAATAGAATCATATTTTGCATGGCCATTTATTGCTCATTGATTTTTTCCGAATAAAATTATGTACCTAATATAAAATAGGAAAATTATTATATTAATCACTAAATCTTATTTAAATAGTATTAATACCATACAACATTCAAAAATACCACATCGGATAAGTACACCAAATATATAAAAGACAACATTTATAATTACTTATACAGTTGTGTGAAGTACGAATACATACATAATACTAAAATACTTTGTTATAAAAAATACACATTAAAAAAAATAATAAAAATTGATAACACGCCGAGCTAGGTGCCGCTGGGCACTGATCCTCCTCATGCCTTTCATGGCATTATATTTAGCAGCAATCGATATCACATTCACTGGTTGTCATTACCATTATGACAGGTGTGAATAAAACATTAAAGCTAAAAAAAAAATAAATAATAATAATAAATACGTAATGCAAATTAATGTCAATTAAGGCCACTTTATACATGTCTGATAAGTACAAATAAATAAACTATGATTTCTAAGCAACTCACAAACCTTTAATACATATTTATTTTATCTTATTGGCTAAAGCACTCTTGCTCAATCTCCACTGGGTTTAGCCCTAGTGACGCGGTTGAGAGAGGAGTGCAGGGAACTCCTGGTCATACTTTTCCCTCCACAGTTGGAAGGACAAGTCTAGTTTGGAGTTCTCTCGCCAAATTGTAAATATTGTATATAGATGTGTATGTATTCTTTTTATTTATTTATTTTTAGGTTATTTTATTCTTATTTATTGTATATATATTATTTTTCTGTATAATTTATTTTATTTATTGTACATAGAGTGTGAATGTGATCTGTGAACTCTATTATAAATGTCCTAGAGACAGGTTGTAATATTTTTCAATAAATAAGTTTTAAAAAAAATTTATGCTATTCAATAAACAGATGAATAAACAGTATGTATAATGATCCTTAATGGTTTTTTTTTTTATTTTTTGATAATTTATTTTCAGTATAATAAAGAAAAAATATTTTTCTTAATATTTTTGCTTACATAATGATATCAATTAGAAGAGATCAACTAGATTTATTCAATTTACCACTATGTTTTAGTCGACTTCTTCTTTGTTCTTCCAACTTATATTGTACATAGGTGTGAATGTGTTTTATTTGTTTTGTTATTACTTGGCTGGTCTGTTGTTTTAATTATCTTGTATATTACTTTATCTTTTTATTTATATATATATAAATATATATATATATACTTTTTTTTCCCCCTTTCTTATGTACATATTGTGTGAATGAATATTATAGCACTAGTACCAATGCCCTTCAGTGTGGCAGACTGCATTAATACTCAATAAAAGTTTTTCTTCCAACTATATGGTCACGTTCGGTGTTGAAATAAGGAAGCCAGTGGTTCTACTGAGATCCTTCAGTGTCCCATAGAGTTTAGTTTCAAGTGATTTCGACAAAGGGCAAATCTTCCTTCTAGTCTCATAAAGAAGATCACAACTCTTAGGAACATGCTCAGCTGTTCGTTCTCCTCCACCACACTTATACAAAGGACTATTTACAATTCTGAATTGCTTGTAAAGGTGAGGAGCATTTAGCCTGTTGTCTCAAAGTCCTGAGTCTCAATATCATGACTTGCTCTTTTCTATATAGTTTGTGGAAGAGGTCATGGGGGTCGCTGGGAGGATGTTTGCTGCCCCTTATCGCAGCTTTGTTTATTGTCTTTATCTCGTCCAGTGAGAACCGGGAATCCGTCTGCCGCTGAAGAGATTTAAGAAGAATGGTTATTAGTTATTTTGTTGCCCATGGATTGGGGAATAATAATTGATATAATTTTTTATTCTTACACTACCATAAACTACAACCCTTTCAATCTATAATTTAGAAGACTAATAACAGCAGCTAGATGGTACATGAACAAAACTTTACATACCGACTTACGAGAACCAACTATCGACTAACATATACGTACTATATACTCTCAATTAAATAATAAACCACACGGACGCAACAAAGTTATAAACGACGTACT